CAAGGATTTAATACATATTTACATCTCAACACAAACTGTATTTATAAAAATTGTGATTGATCTAAATGCCTGCATGAAAAATATCACAAAGATTAAATAGATATGTATAGATATGTAGAGAAGAATGTCAATGCTGCAAAGATAGTTCCATTTTCATTCCTTTAAAGCAAACTTTTGTTACCTTTAAAAGAATTCATCCCTGAAATTTTGATTACATAAATTGTGAATCATTACTGTAAATTTACCCAACTGACTGCTTATTACCCATTACTTAAAATTAGGAGTGTTTTTTATTGTAACAGAATATAACCACAGTTGAAGATGAATTTTAGGGCTTATTTTGACCCTGAAAATTAATCAACTAAAAAAAAAAACGGCATACCATTTCATGATCATATGTTTAAGACAATCAAGTAAAAACGACAAAAATGAAGACACTAACTGTAGCTTGATGATACAATATGACATCAACATCTAGTGTTGTGCTTACAAGTCACATTGATTGACGGACACATACATATTGCAATGTTGAAGTTATTTCAATTATCTCTCCGTCAATGTAGGACAAGGAATATACTCCTTTAAGAACATCTTTACAACTTTGTAAAAATTTCTCAACATTCATTTAGCCATTTAGAAGGGGTTGCATTTATGAGGCCCTTTTATCGTATAGGAAGCTGGAACATATAATTATGTTTTCATTAGCAGGTCCTGTTTTACAACTGTTTAAAAGTCATCAATATCAGTCTAGCTGTTAATGAAAAGTTGCACTTACAAGGTACTTGGACAGACTGACACATACTGGAATATTGAAGTAAATTTGACTATCTCCCCTTTAACATGTAAGACTGGGAATATATTCCTTTAATTAGCAAAACACAGGAAAATAAACAGCTGCACCATGAGTGCATAATACGCCCGTCACTTTTTCAATAGATATAAACCAGTCGCCAAAGTTTCATGAAACTGCTCAAGGCATTTTTGAGTACCAGTAATTGTCTGAAAACAGGAAAATCCCCCTTTTCTAATAAATAAAACCCCACAACTAGGAAGTGTAAAATCTAAAATTTATTGAATTCAAAAGGGAGCTCACATCAATAGATATAAACAATTCACCAAAGCTGTTCAAAGCATTTTTGAGTTCTTATACGACATGTTGACGACCGACGGACGGACAGACGGACGGACAGCGGTATACCATAATACGTCCCATAAAAGGGCGTATAAAAACTTAAAATTGACACTGATAATTTTTAACCACCCTCTTTCCCTTGCTTTCTAACAAATAAGGCTTAATATTTGTGTTATGTATGTGCATATATATGGAAACAGCATCTTTCATAGATTTTCAATAGTTAAAATGGTGAAATTTAATCTCTCTTTTGGTGTAACCATGGCAACAATCTGCATTTATTTGATACATAATATTGCAAAAAAGGGGGGGGGGGGGGGGGGGAGGGGGGTTTGAAAATGTCACAAAAGTCCCCAAAATTTGGTCCAAAGTAGAAATTCAATCCATTAGAGCAATACCTCTCCTGAAACCATTGAACTTTATCTATCTAGAGGTAAAAAAATAATCAGATGCATTTCACCTCAATTTTCTATAAAACTGAATTGAAAAGTTTGAGCATCAAATATTTGTTGGAAAACACAATAATTTCTGAACCTATGGGTGGTAGGGATGTGAAAATATAGACTGTCACACAGAAAATGGCCTATAAAACATGCAAAAAAACAATCTTGATGTTCATATAAACCCACTTTGAAGGCTATATTATTCTTCAGCTATCTAAAAATCAATTTTATTGCACAATAACTTTCATATTTAAAAACTTCACCTTACCAAATTGCGAAACCAAACTCCTAACTGTGTATTGCTACCGTAAGCACATTCTCAGGTAGTCCTACTTTATTAATGAGCAAAATGATGGCACATAAACTATAACAGATTTTTTGTTGTGAAATAAAAATAAAATGCTTCGCTGGGCGCAGCTTGATACGACCGCAGAGGTCGAACCCTGAACAGTTGGGGCAAGTATGGACACAACATTCAAGCTTGATACAGCTCTGAATTTGGATTGTGATTAAATATTTGACACAGCATAGGTTTCTGACACAGAAAGAATGTGGTCTAAGAACTTCAATTTTTTTAATTTACCTATTATGGTCCAATGTCCAAAATCAAAATACATGGTTAGATTCAGCATATCAAAGAACCCCATATATTCAATTCTTGTTGAAATCAAACAAAGTTTAATTTTGGACCCCAACTTGGACAAACTTGAAAACTGGTCCCATAATCAAAAATCTAAACACATGTTTAGATTCAGCATATCAAAGAACCCTAAGAATTCAATTTTTGTTAAAATCAAACTAAGTTTAATTTTGGACCCTTTGGACCTTAATGTAGACAAATTTAAAAAACGGGACCCAAAATTAAAAATCACATGTTTAGATTCAGCATATCAAAGTACCCGAAGAATTCAATTTTTGTTAAAATCAAACTAAGTTTAATTTTGGACCCTTTGGACCTTAATGTAGACAAATTTAAAAAACCGGACCCTAAATTAAAAATCTAAAAACACAGTTAGATTTGGCATATCAAAGAACCCCAATAATTCAATTTTTGATGAAATCAAACAAAGTTTAATTTTGGACCCTTTTGACCTCAATATGAACCAATTTGATAGCAGGCCCACAAATAAAAAATCTAAATACATGGTAAGATTTAGCATATCAAAGAACCCCATATATTCAATTTTTGTTGAAATCAAACAAAGTTTAATTTTGGACCCCAATTTGGACCATCTTGAAAACTAGGCCAAAAATCTAAAATCTAAATACATGTTTAGATTCAGCATATCAAAGAACCCCATTTATTCAATTTTTGTTGAAATCAAACAAAGTTTAATTTTGGACCCCAACTTGGACCAACTTGAAAACTGGTCCCATAATCAAAAATCTAAACACATGTTTAGATTCAGCATATCAAAGAACCCCAAAAATTCAATTTTTGTTAAAATCAAACTAAGTTTAATTTTGGACCCTTTGGACCTTAATGTAGACCAATTTAAAAAACAGGACCCAAAATTAAAAATCTAAATACACGGTTAGATTTGGCATATCAAAGAACCCCAATAATTCAATTTTTGATGAAATCAAACAAAGTTTAATTTTGGACCCTTTGGACCTCAATATGAACCAATTTGATAGCGGGCCCACAAATAAAAAATCTAAATACATGGTAAGATTCAGCATATCAAAGAACCCCATATATTCAATTTTTGTTGAAATCAAACAAAGTTTAATTTTGGACCCCAATTTGGACCAACTTGAAAACTGGGCCAAAAATCTAAATCTAAATACATGTTTAGATTCAGCATATCAAAGAACCCCATATATTCAATTTTTGTTGAAATCAAACAAAGTTTAATTTTGGACCCCAACTTGGACCAACTTGAAAACTGGGCCCATAATCAAAAATCTAAACACATGTTTAGATTCAGCATATCAAAGAACCCTAAGAATTCAATTTTTGTTAAAATCAAACTAAGTTTAATTTTGGACCCTTTGGACCTTAATGTAGACAAATTTAAAAAACGGGACCCAAAATTAAAAATCTAAATACACGGTTAGATTCGGCATATCAAAGAACCCCAATAATTCAATTTTTGATGAAATCAAACAAAGTTTAATTTTGGACCCTTTGGACCTCAATGTGGACCAATTTAAAAACAGGGCCCAAAATCCAAAAACTTATTACACGGTTAGATTCAGCATATTAAAGAACCCCAAGAACTCAAGAATAAAACCCCATTGAAATTGATCAAGAAATAAGCAATTTATACGAAGTATCTTCTTTTGCACAATACTGTGCAATTGAATATTTTTTGCTATTGCGCAATACTGTACAATTGACAATTTCTTGCTATTGCGCAATATTGTGCTATTGGATATTTCTTGCTATTGCGCAATACTGTTAAATTGAAGATTTCTTGCTATTGCGCAATACTGTGCAATTGAAGATTTCTTGCTATTGTGCAATACTGTGCAATTGAAAATTTCTTGCTATTGCACAATACTTATTATATAATAATTTACACATCCTGTTTGGTGTGTATCTCCTACCATATCATTATTATTTGCTTTTAAATATAAATCAGAAATAACCAACTTAAAATGGAAAATTTTAAAAGAAAAAAAAAAGGAAAAAAAGAAAAAAAAAAAAAAAAAAAATCCCCCCCCCCAAATTTTTTGAACCCCCTTATGATTCATCACCCCCAAACTCAATCCCAGCCTTCCCTTTGTGGTATGGTACCTTGCAGTACAATTTCAGAGAGATCCATACACTTGAACACAAGTTATTGTCTGGAAACTAAAAAATGCTTATTTTTGGCCCCTTTTTGGCCCCCAATTCCTAAACGTTTCGGGCAATTACCCCCAAACTCAATTCCAGCTTTCCCTTTGTGATATAGAACCTTGTAGTACAATTTCAGAAATATCCAAACACTTACACACAAGTTATTGTCATGAAACTAGAAAAATGCTTGTTTTTTGCCCCTTTTTTGGCCCCTAATTCCTAAAATTTTGAGGCAATTACCCCCAAAATCAATTACAGCCTTCCCTTTGTGATATGGAACCTTGTGGTACAATGTCAGAAAGATCCATACACTTACACACAAGTTATTGTCTGAAAGTTACAAAAATGCTTATTTTTGGCCCCTTTTTGGCCCCTAATTCCTTAACTGTAGGTACCATAACCCCCAAAATCAATCCCAACCTTCCTTTTGTGGTATTGAACCTTATGGTGAAATTTCATGGAGATCCATTCACTTAAACTAAAGTTAGAGTGCGAAAACCATTGTGTCTTCGGACGACGCAGGACGACGCCGGACGACGACGATGCCGGACGACGACGACGACGACGACGACGACGACGACGCCAACGTCATACCAATATACGACCAAAAAATTTTTAATTTTTGCGGTCGTATAAAAACAACTTCATGAAGAAATCACACCCATAGCCAAGAGGATTAATTGAAAACAAAAAAAGACTGTAAAAAACTATAAAAGTCGAGATTCAGATTGAACTTTTACTATAAAAGTCATAGTGTAAAGACCCCAAATACAACCCCCCCTTCCAGATACATCCTGGATATAGGCCTGGAAATTCATAACTAAATAATCACATAAAGATTCATATCCAAATTCTTATGAGACAAATTAAAATGTGATAAACATGACAATATCTTATTTATAGCATAACAATCAAATACTCATAGATTTAGAATATAATGAGACTATCTGTATATAAGATTGAATGTGACTTCAGAACACACCAAAGTTATAATTTGGAGCATCACACTCATACGTTCCTTTTCATTTCATCTTTTGAAATATCTATTTTCAAGGGCTCATGTTAAAACATTTAAAGTGCTAAAAATTTTCAAATGCCAGATTTAAAGTTAATTTCATCAACTGAAAAATAAACCTATTTCGGATTCACAGCTTCAAATGATTTCAAATGGAATAATAAAAATTGTTCAAAAAAAGTGCATCTATGGTTTGATTATGATTTGGAAAATATTGTTCTAACTTTTATTTATAGAAATAATGTTGGTATTGTTTATTCATGGAGACAATCTGTATACAAATCTACAATTAAGATGGTGTAATGATGAATGCATGGGGGATTTGAAGCACAAGAGGGCCTAATGCTCTTATATTGTCATAAGTGTTTTTAATCTACTTCTATATTGTTTGAATGAGTATGTATGTGCTTAAATACCTTTCCTTCTCATTTGAATGCCTGTTTTGAGGTCTTCAGTTAATATAATAAAGTATTTCAAAATTCAGGTCAACACCTCTCATGGGGGATATCCCCTGTAAATCGGGATAGTTGGCAGGTCTGTGATTGATACAATAGCACAATAGTAATCAGGTATAAAAACATACAAAACATAATAATTGCCTGTTGTTATTTAACATAATACTAAAGAGGATGGATTGTCACTTGGCAATAGCCACATACATGTAGGTTAATAAAATTGGTTCGACTAAAAAGTCTAAATAAAGAACAACTAACACACAGATCTTGATACCAGTAATAAGTACAAAACTGGTTTATAAAAGTGTTTTCAAAGGACTTACACTCAATAATACAAAAGTGTAATGAATGAAATTCATTAATAGTTTATAAATATTCTAATAAAAATTGAACACATTAGTATGACCTTAAGCCATTTAAATATGGCAACATAAAATTTGATATTTTTCTTTTAACAAATATAATAAACTTATTTGAGCAAAATTTCTATGTCATGATTTTGACTCAAAAGGACATTTTCATTTATATTTTCTCTTGATACTTATACCTTAGTTTTTACACATCAGCAAACAGTAATCATTATTAATCAAGGGCCTCCATGGCTGAGTAGTCTAAGTAGTTGAACAACTATATCACTAGCCTGTCAACCCTGATTGTTGTGAGTTGAAATCCTGCATGTGGTAGGTGCACTCGAATCTTAATTGACTAGGATGGATAGTTTTCCTACCGAAGGTCGTGGTTCTCTACAAGGACTCCGGGGGCCCTCCACCAATAAAAACTGACCGATATGAAATAGCTGGATAGTGTTGAAAGTGGCGTTAAACACCAATCAATCAATCAATCATTATTAACAAAATTTAGATTAACTATACATAACAGGGTCTAAATATAACAATAATTTCTATCTCCTAAGAAAAATCTAAATGAAATTGCACTCTGGTCTAACAATGTTCATGTTTAATACTACAACTATATCACAACACAACTGCTTATATACAATTCTCTTCTGTATAATCATTCTGCAAAGGGATGTTTTCAAGTAATTCTTCGTTACCACTTTTGTTCTTTCGACCTTTATCTGTGAGAGGAGCTTCCACTATTCTATCCATATCTAATTTGTCAGGTAATGGTCTCCCAGCAGTTTCTGGTAAGAAACAGACTAAAACACCACAGGCTAATGCTAATCCTCCAAATATTGTGAATGGTAATGATTGTTGAATAGAATTCTGAAACAAGCAAGAAATGTGGGTTAATATATCATATACTATTCTAAAAGGATTGAAGATACAGTAGACTTCACATAACTACATACATCATATACTCTTCTAAAAGGATTAAAGATACAGTAGACTTCACTTAACTACATACATCATATACTCTTCTAAAAGGATTGAAGATACAGTAGACTTCACTTAACTACATACATCATATACTCTTCTAAAAGGATTGAAGACACAGTGGACTTCACTTAACTACATACATCATATACTCTTCTAAAAGGATTAAGGATACAGTAGACTTCACTTAATTGCATACACGTTATTCACATGAATAAGAATAAAAATTCATAACACAAAATCATTTTCCTATCTCTTGTTTTGGAAATTTGTTTAACTACACTTGTCCAAGCAACTATTCCTGTTAATTGCATAAATATATCTGAAAAAATATAAAAGTATACTATTCTGACAATTGCAAGTATTTTTGTAGTTATACCTATAAGTGGTTAAGAAATAAGATTTTGCAAAATAGTTTTTTTTATAACAATATTGTATACTTTCTTTGTTTGTATTGACATCAAGAGTCCTTCATTAGTTTCTCAAGTGTACTTTTTAACAATATACATTTGTCTGATTCATAAACTACTGTAGACTAATACTTACTAAACTAACAAACTGTGGAGCTACTACACCTCCTACTCTGGCTGACATAGAACATGCAGCAATACCTATATTCCTATAACATACATATTATATAAAGTTAAAAAGCTGACATGAAACAACAAACATATTATATAAAGTTAAAAAGCTGACATGAAACAACAAACATATTATATAAAGTTAAAAAGCTGACATGAAACAACAAACATATTATATAAAGTTAAAAAGCTGACATGAAACAACAAACATATTATATAAAGTTAAAAAGCTGACACAAAACATGCAGCTATACATATATTCCTATAACAAACATATTATATAAAGTTAAACGGCTGACATAGAACAGATATAGATGGCGACGACGACAACGACGACGACGACGACAATGATGATGATGATGATGATGATGATGATGATGATGATGATGATGATGATGATGATGTCTTTGGTTTGACCCAGCCAGGCATGGAACCCAGGACCTTCCCACAGCTGACATAGAACATGACGATATACCAATATTTCTATAACATTGATAACATATCAAGTAAAACCACTAATACACCCTAGCATCAATGCAGTTGTTAACAATGATTAGTTGGATGGCAGGAAATCCAGGTTACCTGATAATGTACAGGTAAACTATAAGGGGACATCAATCTATCTTTTAAAAATTGTTTCTGGTGCTTTGAGATGTCTGCAACTAAATAATAAAAGTAAAATATTATCCAGGTTTATTTGAATTTAAGTTTTTAGAAACCAAGAATGTGTCCATAGTACACGGATGCCCCACTCACACTAACATGTTCTATGTTCAGTGGACCGTGAAATTGGGGTCAAATCTCTAATTTGGTATTAAAACTAAAAAGATCATATTTTAGGGAACATGTGTACTAAGTTTCAAGTTGATTGGACTTCAACTTCATCAAAAACTACCTTGACCAAAAACTTTAACCTGAAGCGACCAAAAACTTTAATCTGAAACGGGACAGTATCATTTTCTATGTTCAGTTGACTGTGATATTGGGGTCAAAACTCTAATTTGGCATTAAAATTAGAAAGATCATATGATAGGGAACATGTGTACTAAGTTTCAAGTTGATTGGACTTCAACTTCATCAAAAACTACCTTGACCAAAAACTTTAACCTGAAGTGGGACAGACGGAAGAATGGAAGGACCAACTAACGGACGAATGAACGGATGGACAGACCGAAAAACATAATGCCCCTAGGTGAGGCATAAAAATCAACCGAACCTTGTTACATACGCATAAGTGTAGGTATGCACACATGTGAAACTTGATTTTACATCTGATAGTTTTCAAAATAAAAAGTTATAATATGTAACATAAACTGGCTTAAAGAACTGTCATGAAGAAAGAACATGAAAAATAACTACTAAAACTTGAAGAAATTACTATCTAATACTTGATTAAAATGAACATACAATTGCGGTATTTCATCTTTATTCAGAGTTTTATTGCAGAAATTTCATCATCCAGAATTAGAATAAACAGCTTGAATGCAATAATATGTCGGTGAACATACTGTTGCCAAATATTTATAAGCAAAAAATAAAATTTTTAGGGGGTGGGGAGAGTGGTGTCGAACCCAACCACTAATATGCTAATTTTTTGGAAGGAAAACATTGAACAATTGTTACCTTTAAACAAAGAAGCATATAAAATTTTCTGAATATCTGAGAAGTCCCACAACTCTAGCAAATCAGATGGATGGAATAGTGTTTAACGTCCAGTGGCAAATATTACATGCATATTAGGACTAGAACATGATTAACCCATGATAGTGTTTTGTGAACTATCATTTGCCTTTTTTTTTGCCATGGTGTTGCCATTCTACAACTTGTAATATTTTTATTGTCAAATTGGTATCTTCTCACATTTTTTCAAGAATGTATATATTCACGCACCAAGGTAGAGTCCAGGCTGTACACATTACAGAGGGTAGGGATGGGGTACCCCACATGATAAATGAGGGTATAATATTTGTTAAAATAACGTTAACGATAATTATTTCAGTCCATTTGACGCTAACAATTTAATTTCTGAATTTTTAACAGTAATAAATTGCTTTGCCGAGCGCAGCTGGATACGACCGCAGAGGTCCAACACTGAACAGTTGGGGCAAAAATGGACACAATATTCGCCCTTGATACAGGTCTGAATTTGGATTGTAATTAAATATTTGACACATAATAGGTTTCTGACACAGAATAACTGTAGTAAAAGAACTTAGAATTGGTTATATGATTTGAATTTATATTCAATTTTTTGCTTTTGTGCAATACACTATGCTGTTGCGTATTGAGTTTTATTTTGGAAAAAAAAAAATTTTTCAAGAATTTTTCTTTTTAATTTCTGTAATTTGAAACAAGAAAAAATTGACCCCCCCCCCCCAAATTTTTTTTTCACCTCCCCCCCCCCCCCCCCCCCCCAAAAAAAAAATTCTTTCCCTCAAGATATGGTCATAATCTCAATTCAAATTTCCAATGAAGTTTGCAACCATAATTACCCATTTAAATTTACCATAGTGCTAACTTAATCTATTTTGTAATAGAATTTAAAATATGGTGTCAAATCTTTCATATGGATTTTTTTGTAAAAAAAAATATCCAATATTTGCAGATATTTTTACTGGTCTTCCTTTATAAAAATGCATTTCTTTATACATGATTTAAAAGCAGTGTAAGGGAGGTAATCAAAACATTGTTTTTGGACTACCTCCCTTACACTGCTTTTAAATTGTCTTATGTAATTGTCCATTAGCCATTTCTTTATACATAATTCAAAAGCAGTGTAAGGGAGGTAATTCAAATGATGAGTTTGAATTACCTCCCTCACACTGCTTTAAATTATGTTTTGTACTAAAGTTATTGTCCATTACCTAGGACACCCTTGTTTTCCCCCATTTTTCCCCTAATTCCTAAACGGTTTGAGCCATAACCCCCCAAAGCAAATCCTAACCATCACTTTGAGGTATGGAAACTTGTGGTAGAATTTCAGAGAGATCCATACACCATTCCACAAGTTAATGTCTGGAAATTAGAAAAAATGCTTATTTGGGCCCCTTTTTGGCCCCTATTTCCTAAACTGTTAGGACCATAACCCCCAAAATCAATCCCAACCTTCCTTTTGTGGTTATAAACCTTGTGTTTAAATTTCATAGATTTCTATTTATTTATACTAAAGTTATTGTCTGGAAACCAACTGTCTTACGAAGAGGAGAACGAGGACGATGACGATGACGACGACAACGTGATACCAATATACGACCGCAAAATTTTTTTGCGGTCGTATAAAAAAATATTTGTTATTGATTTCCGAAACTTTTTGGTTCATCCTAATATAATTTAATTTTGGATGTAACACATCTTTTGACTGACTGAGAGAATTTTGTTTATCAGCTCATAGACATAATTTTGTCATGTGACCGTGACGTCATCTGACAACGTTTTTTTCATTATTTACTCCTTAAAAGTGTGCACTACATTTTTTATGTTATTTCTTCATAGACAGAAAAAATATTACAGTCATTCCTTAAGTGAAAACTTGGATCCATCCCAATAATATAATGTATCAACAGTTTTTAAAGTAAATCCAACTTTTGTCACAATCCTGACTTGCCCAGATACAAATGTATCACTTCACTAACCTGACAACAGTTGGGAAAGTTTCAGCAGAGAAAACCTGAACTGCAGCCCAGCCACCAGCTATTCCTGACTTTCCTAGCATGGCTAGTACTATTGTTAGAAATGTTAAACCAGATGACTTTTCACCTGAAACTGTAAATTCATTAAACTATATTAGTTCATCATGAAAACAAAGATTATTTTGTCATATGTCCATTTGAAGATAAAACATTTTATTAACAATGAGGAAAGGAACAGTGGAAATGACTTCATATATCAAGAATTTTACCATTTTACCATTTCAGAACATTTTAAATAAATGTGGATAGTGTCCACATGTGGACACAGATGATGCCCCCTCTTGCATATCATATAGTTATAAAGGGACATAACTGAAGAACGGTAAAAGTGACGCTACCCAAATTTGAACTTGATCTGAGTTTTGTGGTAATAAGCATTGTTTGTAAGTCTCATAACATTTGGTTGAGGCTAACTTAAGTAGAGAACAGAAACTAAAAATTCAGCAATTTTTCTATTTGTAAACACACATAACTCTAGAACGATTGTGTATACGTTTTATAACATTTGGTTGAGACAAACTAAAGTTAGAGAACGGAAACGAAAAATTCAGCAATTTTTATGTTTAAAAAGAGACATAACTCAAGAATGGTAAAAGTGTCGCCACCAAATTTCGTACTAAATCTGTATTATGTAGTAATAAGCATTGTGTATAAGTTTCATAACATTTGGTTGAGGCAAACTAAAGTTAGAAAACAGAAACAAAAAATTTGTACTTGATCTTAGTTTTGTGGTAATGAATATTGTGTATAGGTTTCATAATGTTTGGTTGGGGCAAACTTAAGTTACAGAATGGAAACTAAAAATTTTGCAATCTTTCGATTTATAAAGGGGCATAACTCAATAATGGTTAAAGTGACACTACCCAAATTCAACTTGATCTGTGTTTTATCAGTGGAAGTCAAAATTAAACATTGCATTGTATAAAGCATTGATTGTAGTTGATTCAACTATAATCATGGACAAAGGAAGATAACTCCAATTTTAAAAATTACTTGATATTTAGAAGAAAATAAAAATTTTGCAATTTTTCCATTTATAAAGGGCATAACTCACAGTTAAAGTGACGCCACCAAAATTCAAACTTGATCTGTGTTTTGTGGTGATAAGCATTGTGTATAAGTTTCATAACATTTGGCTGAGGCAAACTTAAGTAAGAGAACGGAAACTAAAAATTTTGCAATTTTTCCATTGATAAAGGGGCATAACTCTAGAACGTTTAAAGTGACACCACCAAAATTCAAACTTGATCTGTGTGTTGTGGTAATAAGCATTGTGTATAAGTTTCATAACATTTGGTTGAGGCAAACTTAAGTTAGAGAACGGAAACTAAATATTTTGCAATTTTTCCATTTATAAAGGGGCATAACTCTAGAACGGTTTGAGTGACACCACCAAAATTCAAACTTGATCTGTGTGTTGTGGTAATAAGCATTGTGTATAAGTTTCATAACATTTGGTTGAGGCAAACTCAAGTTAGAGAACAGAAACCAATTGTGGGATGTACAAACAGACGGACAAGGGTAAAACTTAATGCCCCCACCGCTATGGCGGGGGCATAAAAAGTAACAAATTTTTTATTTAATTTTTTAGAATGTACTGTGGATCCATTTATTTTCGTGGGTACCAATATTCATGGATTTAGAAAAACTTCGTGGATATTTAATTTCGTGGTTTTGTCAAAAGCTGCATACAAGCCTATAGATATTTTTTAAATTGTTGAACATTTAAATTCGTGGTTTAAATGTATCCATGAAATCCAGGAAAATTGGTGACCAAAGAATAATAAAGAATCCACAGTAGTCTATACCAATAGCACTTCACTCTATAATGCCTGGTCATAAAGTTTGGCAATTTAAAAGTTTAACTATATAATTATCAATTAAGGGTCCAACCTTTTCTTTGCAGTTTATCAAAAGACTAAAATGTAAGATATAATCAAATATGTTGTATTTCTTTATCACTTACCAGCTAAGTCTATAAATAACACTGAGAAACATGAGATTCCTGCTAACATCATTAAAATTGAGATTGTCTTTCGTCGTCCAATTTTATTACTAATAAGTAAAACAAATACTAATGCTGGTATTTCTACAACTCCAGAAATGAATATATTTATGTATCTATCACCAGCTAAATTTTTAGTGTTAAAGTTTAAACCATAGTACACTGAACTTGAAACAAACCTGAAATAAAAAATATATATGAGTATGATACATAAAACTTGAATAATTTATTTTCGTTATTATATAATATATTCTTCTTCTTTTTTAAACCAATAATAGAAATGATGGAGGATTGATACTTGTACAACAGAGCTATTTTCTATCTTAATTACAAATAAAAGAAGAATGTGTCCATGGTACACAGATGCCCCCCACTTGTAAATATACAAGTCAATGTAGTAAAGTTAGAGTGTGAAAAAGGCAGATTTAGCAATTTTTCCATTTATAAAGGGACAAAACCTGATCTGTATTTGGTGGTAATGAGTATTGCATATACATTTCATAATATTTGGATGAGACCTTTACATAGAAATATTGGGCTGCCATCTACTGACTTTAAGGGTTAATTTTTTTTTTCATTTTTAGTTCTTCTGTTTTAGCTTTTAGTTTTGTGTTTTTAGGGTTCATTGTTTTGCGTTTTTAGGTTTTGGTTTATTACCTTTTGGTTTGTGTTTAACCTTTTACTTTTAATGGTTGTATGTTTGAACATTTCTTCATTGAATTTTAATCTTGAACATTCATGAATTTACAAGAAATACTAATATCTTTTTAGGTATCTCATCTGTTTATGCTGTAAAGTTAGATTATTTTGTAACCAGTATTGTCTAGTTGATTTGTACAAAATATTTTTTTTTTAAATGGGCAAAAAAAATTCTGACATGCTAGCATTTTGAAGACTAGAAAGTAAAAGACTATTCAAACTCACCAGTTTTGGCAATAAATGGATTTCTATGTATAACTTTATTAAATTGTTGTTCAAATAGTTTCAGAGAAAATGTGATTTCCCTTATAACTCATTATAAACTCATGACTAACTATAGCATAATTTTTGGTGAAACGTAAGATTAAAAAGGGAATCACCATTCCTTTGATTTAAAAAAAAAAATAAATATAAAAATTGTAGCCTTGTAACTCCAATGAAGAAAGATAATTTCCAAATTTGAACTGAGTAATTTTGGGTAGACCTGTATGACTGCTAAATGTGGAAAATAATTTTAGAGAAAGACCTTCAAAATATTAAGTTCGAAGATTTGGTCCAGGCTTCAAGTAGTTTCAATGATGAATGACAGAATTATGGAAAATTTAAAGAGTAAGGATCATGAAAGAGGTTTAGTGGTGGCAACAGCTGAAGCTGACCCTTGGCTAAGGAAAGCTTTAAAGTGTACCCAACACAGTTAAGATGTAATACTCACCAACTAAACATAGCAATAAAACTGTGGAATGCAGACTTTGGATTTCTAAAAAGATTATGGTAGCTATACATCTGACATCCTTTATTGTTATTACCATCTATTTTCTGTAAGAAATAAATATAATAAATGTGGATAGTGTCCATGTAACAGCCACTATGTTCTGTCAGTTACTTTGTTCCGGAGGAACTTTTCAACTAGTTATTTCGTTCCGATGGAACTTTCCAACTAGTTATTTCGTTCCAATGGAACTTTCCAACTAGTTGTTTTATTTCGAGTGCAGTCGAAAAGTTCCAGAAAAAAGTAGCTAGTTGAAAAGTCCCGGAACAATGTAGCTAGTTGAATAGTTCTGGCGGAACTGAACAACTAGTTACATCGTTCCGAATATACCATATTTAGTCCTTTTTGTAGAAAGAGGGGGAAGAATGAGTATCAGTATATATAAGAGCAAATCATTAATTTACAAGAATACCCAACGCACTGAAAGGGGTTTCTTTGGGGACAAATATGCAAAATTTAAGTTGTATTTCATAGCTCACATAAAACGGAATAAGTTGCATTATCATGCAAATTTAGTATTCATAGTACCCTCAAGAGAGGGAAGAATATACCCCCCTCCTCATGTGGTTCTTTGAATCAATTCTCCAAATGGAACTTTGTGACTGGTTGATAAGTTCTGTTGGACCTTTTGGGCTAGTTTGTTAGTTCCGGTTTTGACTTATTTGCCAAAGAGGAACTTTGTGGCTAGTTGATAAGTTCCATTTGACTTTTGTAATCAGTATCTTGGGTTTCCCTTTGAAAGGTTCAAATATAATATGTTGCGCTTTTACTTTACAACAATTCTCCCAATGGAACTTTCTGCCTGGTTGATAAGTTCCGTTGGAACTTTTGGGCTAGTTTGTTAGTTCCAGTTTTGACTAATTTGGAAAAAAGGAATTTTCTAACTAGTTGATATGTTCCGTTGGAACTTTTCAACTAGTCACTTTGTTGTTTTAAACCAGAGGAAGAACAAAGTAACTAGTTAATAAGTTCCTCCGGAACTTTTCGGCTAGTTAGTTCTTTCCGCCCAGAACTTTCCAACGTCGGAAAAAAAAGAGCATTTACATCCACATGTGGACACAGATGATGCCCCCGCTTGCATATCATATAGTTATAAAGGGACATAACTGAAGAACGGTACAAGTGACGCTACCCAAATTTGAACTTGATCTGAGTTTTGTGGTAATAAGCATTGTGTGTAAGTCTCATAACATTTGGTTGAGGCTAACTTAAGTAGAGAACAGAAACTAAAAATTCAGCAATTTTTCTATTTGTAAACATGCATAACTCTAGAACTGTTGTGTATAAGTTCTATAACATTGGGTTGAGACAAACTAAAAAATTCAGCAATTTTTATGTTTATAAAGGGACATAACTCAAGAATGGTAAAAGTGTCGCCACCTTATTTCGTACTTAATCTGTATTATGTAGTAATAAGCATTATGTATAAGTTTCATAACATTTGGTTGAGGCAAACTAAAGTTAGAAAACGGAAACAAAAAATTTGTACTTGATCTTAGTTTTGTGGTAATGAATATTGTGTATAGGTTTCATAATGTTTGGTTGGGACAAACTTCAGTTACAGAATGGAAACTTAAAGATTCGGCATATCAAAGAACCCCAATAATTCAATTTTTGATAAAAATCAAACAAAGTTTAATTTTGGACCCTTTGGACCTCAATGTGGACCAATTTAAAAACGGGGCCCAAAATCCAAAAACTAAATACACGGTTAGATTCAGCATATTTAAGAACCCCAAGAATTCAAGAATAAAACCCCATTGAAATTGGTCAAGAAATAAGCAATTTATACGAAGTATCTTCTTTTGCACAATACTGTGCAATTAAATATTTCTTGCTATTGCGCAATACTGTACAATTGACAATTTCTTGCTATTGCGCAATATTGTGCTATTGGATATTTCTTGCTATTGCACAATACTGTGCAATTGAAGATTTCTTGCTATTGCGCAATACTGTGCAATTGAAGATTTCTTGCTATTGTGCAATACTGTGCAATTGAAAATTTCTTGCTATTGCACAATACTTATTATATAATAATTTACACATCCTGTTTGGTGTGTATCTCCTACCATATCATTATTATTTGATTTTAAATATAAATCAGAAATAACCAACTTAAAATGGAAAATTTTAAAAGAAAAAAAAAAGGAAAAAAAGAAAAAAAAAGGAAAAAAAAAAAAATCCCCCCCCCAAATTTTTTGAACCCTCTTATGATTCATCACCCCCAAACTCAATCCCAGCCTTCCCTTTGTGGTATGGTACCATGCAGTACAATTTCAGAGAGATCCATACACTTGAACACAAGTTATTGTCTGGAAACTAGAATAAAATGCTCCGCAGGGCGCAGCTTGATACGACCGCAGAGGTCGAACCCTGAACAGTTGGGGGAAGTATGGACACAACATTCAAGCTTGATACAGCTTTGGATTTGGATTGTGATTAAATATTTGACACAGCATAGGTTTCTAACACAGATTGAATGTGGTCTAAGAACTTAAAAATTTTAAATTGGACATTCACCTATTATGGTCCAATATCCAAAATCTAAATACATGGTTAGATTCAGCATATCAAAGAACCCCAAGAATTCAATTTTTGATGAAATCAAACAAAGTTTAATTTCGGACCCTTTTGACCTCAATGTGGACAAAGTTGATAACGGGGCCCAAAAATCAAAAATCTAAATACATGGTTAGATTCAGCATATCAAAGAACCCCATATATTCAATTTTTGTTGAAATAAAACAAAGTTTAATTTTGGACCCCGATTTGGACCAACTTGAAAACTGGGCCCATAATCAAAAATCTAAATACATGTTTAGATTCAGCATATCAAAGAACCCTAAGAATTCAATTTTTGTTAAAATCAAACTAAGTTTAATTTTGGACCCTTTGGACCTTAATGTAGACCAATTTGAAAACGGAACCAAAAATTAAGAATCTAAATACACGGTTAGATTCAGCATATCAAAGAACCCCAATAATTCAATTTTTGATGAAATCAAACAAAGTTTAATTTTGGACCCTTTTGACCTCAATGTAGACAAAGTTGATAACGGGGCCCAAAAATCAAAAATCTAAATACATGGTTAGATTCAGCATATCAAAGAACCCCATATATTCAATTTTTGTTGAAATCAAACAAAGTTTAATTTTGGACCCCGATTTGGACCAACTTGAAAACTGGGCCCATAATCAAAAATCTAAATACATGTTTAGATTCAGCATATCAAAGAACCCTAAGAATTCAATTTTTGTTAAAATCAAACTAAGTTTAATTTTGGACCCTTTGGACCTTAATGTAGACCAATTTGAAAACGGAACCAAAATTTAAGAATCTAAATACACAGTTAGATTCGGCATATCAAAGAACCCCAATAATTCAATTTTTGATGAAATCAAACAAAGTTTAATTTTGGACCCTTTGGACCTCAATGTGGACCAATTTAAAAACGGGGCCCAAAATCCAAAAACTAAATACACGGTTATATTCAGCATATTAAAGAACCCCATGAAATCAAGAATAAAACCCCATTGAAATTGGTCAAGAAATAAGCAATTTATAGGAAGTATCTTCTTTTGCACAATCCTGTGCTATTAAATATTTCTTGCTATTGCGCAATACTGTACAATTGACAATTTCTTGCTATTGCGCAATATTGTGCTATTGGATATTTCTTGCTACTGCGCAATACTGTGCAATTGAAGATTTCTTGCTATTGCGCAATACTGTGCAATTGAAGATTTCTTGCTATTGTGCAATACTGTGCAATTGAAAATTTCTTGCTATTGCACAATACTTATTATATAATAATTTACACATCCTGTTTGGTGTGTATCTCCTACCATATCATTATTATTTGATTTTAAATATAAATCAGAAATAACCAACTTAAAATGGAAAATTTTAAAAGAAACAAAAAAGGAAAAAAAGAAAAAAAAGGAAAAAAAAATAAATCCCCCCCCAAAATTTTTTGAACCCCCATTATGATTCATCACCCCCAAACTCAATCCCAGCCTTCCCTTTGTGGTATGGTACCTTGCAGTACAATTTCAGAGAGATCCATACACTTGAACACAAGTTATTGTCTGGAAACTAGAAAAAAATGTGTTTTTTGGCCCCTTTTTGGCCCCAAATTCCTAAACATTTAGGGCAATTACCCCCAAACTCAAACCCAGCTTTCCCTTTGAGATATGGGACCTTGTAGTACAATTTCAGAAAGATCCATACACTTACACACAAGTTATTGTCATGAAACTAGAAAAATGCTTGTTTTTTGCCCCTTTTTTGGCCCCTAATTCCTAAAATTTGGAGGCAATTACCCCCAAAATCAATCCCAGCATTCCTTTAGTGATATGGAACCTTGTGGTACAATGTCAGAGAGATCCATACACTTGAACACAAGTTATGTCTGGAAGTTACAAAAATGCTTATTTTTGGCCCCTTTTTGGCCCCTAATTCCTTTACTGTTATTACCATAACCCCCAAAATCAATCCCAACCTTCCTTTTGTGGTATTGAACCTTGTGGTAAAATTTCATAAAGATCCATTCACTTAAACTAAAGTTAGAGTGCGAAAACCAATGTGTCTTCAGACGACGCCGGACGACGACGACGACGACGACGACGCCAACGTCATACCAATATACGACCACAAAAATTTTTTTGTGGTCGTATAAAAATGTGTTTTTTGGCCCCTTTTTGGCCCCACATTTCTAAACGTCTAGGGCAATTACCCCAAAACTCAAACCCAGCTTTCCCTTTGTGATATGGAAACTTTTAGTACAATTTCAGAAAGATCCATACACTTACATACAAGTTATTGTCCTGAAACTAGAAAAATGCTTGTTTTTTGCCCCTTTTTGGCCCCTAATTCCTAAAATATTGAGGCAATTACCCCCATCATCAATCCCAGCCTTCCCTTTGTGGTATGGTACCTTGCAGTACAATTTCAGAGAGATCCATTCACTTGAACACAAGTTATTGTCTGGAAACTAGAAAAATGCTTGTTTTTTGCCCCTTTTTGGCCCCTAATTCCTTAAATATCGAGGCAATTACCCCCATCATCAATCCCAGCCTTCCCTTTGTGGTATGGTACCTTGCAGTACAATTTCAGAGAGATCCATACACTTGAACACAAGTTATTGTCTGGAAACTAGAAAAATGATTATTTTTGGCCCCTTTTTGGCCCCCAATTCCTAAACGTTTCGGCAATTACCCATAAACTCAATTCAAGCTTTCCCTTTGTGATATGGAACCTTGTAGTACAATTTCAGAAAGATCCATACACTTACACACAAGTTATTGTCATGAAACTAGAAAAATGCTTGTTTTTTGCCCCTTTTTTGGCCCCTAATTCCTAAAATTTTGAGGCAATTACCACCAAAATCAATCCCAGCATTCCTTTTGTGATATGGAACCTTGTGGTACAATGTCAGAGAGATCCATACACTAACACACAAGTTATGTCTGGAAGTTACAAAAATGCTTATTTTTGGCCCCTTTTTGGCCCCTAATTCCTTTACTGTTGGTACCATAACCCCCAAAATCAATCCCAACCTTTCTTTTGTGGTATTGAACCTTGTGGTAAAATTTCATAGAGATCCATTCACTTAAACTAAAGTTAGAGTGCGAAAACCAATGTGTCTTCGGACGATGCCGGACGACGCCAGACGACGAAGACGACGCCAACGTCATACCAATATACGACCACAAAATTTTTTTTGCGGTCGTATAAAAATTACTTGATATAATAATTTAGAAGAAAATAAAAATTTTGCAATTTTTCCATTTATAAAGGGGCATAACTCTAGAATGGTTAAAGTGATGCCACCAAAATTCAAACTTGATCTGTGTTTTGTGGTAATAAGCATTATGTATAAGTTTCATAACATTTGGTTTAGGCAAACTTAAGTAAGAGAACAGAAACTTAAAATTTTGCAATTTTTCCATTTATAAAAGGGCATAACTCTAGAACGGTTAAAGTGACGCCACCAAAATTCAAACTTGATCTGTGTTTTGTGGTTATAAGCATTGTGTATAAGTTTCATAACATTTGATTGAGGCAAACTTAAGTTAGAGAACGGAAACTAAAAATTTTGCAATTTTTCCATTTATAAAGGGGCATAACCTAGAACGGTTAAAGTGACGCCACCAAAATTCAGACTTGATCTGTGTTTAAGGTAATAAGCATTGTGTATAAGTTTCATAACATTTGATTGAGGCAAACTCAAGTTAGAGAACAGAAACCAATTTTGGGACGTACGTACAGACGGACAAGGGTAAAACTTAATGCCCCCACCGCTACGGCGGGGGCATAAAAATGATGTACAAATGAAGCATAATCAAGACCAAGTCATTATAAAGGATGGGACATAATCATAAGTAGGTGAATCTTACAACTTCTGTAAAATTTGAACAACAAATTGATTTTAGTAATTGCAAATGCAGAAATTATTGACTGCACTTATTATTGCATTGTCCTAAATGACCAGTCAAAACCATGTCACAATTGCACATTACTTATAGAGATTACTTAAATCAAATAATATCATAATGCAATATTTAAAATCTTGAAATATTTGAAACTGCAGTATATTTAAATGATTAATAAAATGCTCCGCAGTGCGCAGCTTGATACGACCGCAGAGGTCGAACCCTGAACAGTTGGGGCAAGTATGGACACAACATTCAAGCTTGATACAGCTTTGCATTTGGATTGTGATTAAATATTTGACACAGCATAGGTTTCTGACACAGAATGAATGTGGTCTAAGAACTTAAAAATTTTAAATTGGACATTCACCTATTATGGTCCAATATCCAAAATCTAAATACATGGTTAGATTCAGCATATCAAAGAACCCCAAGAATTCAATTTTTGATGAAATCAAACAAAGTTTAATTTTGGACCCCTTTGACCTCAATGTGGACAAAGTTGATAACGGGGCCCAAAAATCAAAAATCTAAATACATGGTTAGATTCAGCATATCAAAGAACCCCATATATTCAATTTTTGTTGAAATCAAACAAAGTTTAATTTTGGACCCAGATTTGGACCAACTTGAAAACTGGGCCAATAATCAAAAATCTAAATACATATTTAGATTCAGCATATCAAAGAACCCTAAGAATTCAATTTTTGTTAAAATCAAACTAAGTTTAATTTAGGACCCTTTGGAACTTAATGTAGACCAATTTGAAAACGGAACCAAAAATTAAGAATCTAAATACACGGTTAGATTCGGCATATCAAAGAACCCCAATAATTCAATTTTTGATGAAATCAAACAAAGTTTAATTTTGGACCCTTTGGACCTCAATGTGGACCAATTTAAAAACGGGGCCCAAAATCCAAAAACTTAATACACGGTTAGATTCAGCATATTAAAGAACCCCAAGAATTCAAGAATAAAACCCCATTGAAATTGGTCAAGAAATAAGCAATTTATACGAAGTATCTTCTTTTGCACAATACTGTGCAATTAAATATTTCTTGCTATTGCGCAATACTGTACAATTGACAATTTCTTGCTATTGCGCAATATTGTGCTATTGGATATTTCTTGCTATTGCACAATACTGTGCAATTGAAGATTTCTTGCTATTGCGCAATACTGTGCAATTGAAGATTTCTTGCTATTGTGCAATACTGTGCAATTGAAAATTTCTTGCTATTGCACAATAATTTACACATCCTGTTTGGTGTGTATCTCCTACCATATCATTATTATTTGCTTTTAAATATAAATCAGAAATAACCAACTTAAAATGGAAAATTTTAAAAGAAAAAAAAAAGGAAAAAAAGAAATAAAAGGAAAAAAAAAAAATCCCCCCCCCAAATTTTTTGAACCCCCTTATGATTCATCACCCCCAAACTCAATCCCAGCCTTCCCTTTGTGTTATGGTACTTTGCAGTACAATTTCAGAGAGATCCATACACTTGAACACAAGTTATTGTCTGGAAACTAGAAAAATTTGTTTTTTTCCCCTTTTTGGCCCCAAATTCCTAAACGTCTAGGGCAATTACCCCCAAACTCAAACCCAGCTTTCCCTTTGTGATATGGAACCTTGTAGTACAATTTCAGAAAGATCCATACACTTTCACACAAGTTATTGTCCTGAAACTAGAAAAATGCTTGTTTTTTGCCCCTTTTTGGCCCCTAATTCCTAAAATATTGAGGCAATTACCCCCATCATCAATCCCAGCCTTCCCTTTGTGGTATGGTACCTTGCAGTACAATTTCAGAGAGATCCGTACACTTGAACACAAGTTATTGTCTGGAAACTAGAAAAATGCTTATTTTTGGCCCTTTTTTGGCCCCCAATTCCTAAACGTTTCGGCAATTACCCCCAAACTCAATTCCAGCTTTCCCTTTGTGATATGGAACCTTGTAGTACAATTTCAGAAAGATCCATACACTTACACACAAGTTATTGTCATGAAACTAGAAAAATGCTTGTTTTTTGTCCCTTTTTTGGTCCCTAATTCCTAAAATTTTGAGGCAATTACCCCCAAAATCAATCCCAGCATTCCTTTTGTGATATGGAACCTTGTGGTACAATGTCATAAAGATCCATACAATAACACACAAGTTATGTCTGGAAGTTACAAAAATTCTTATTTTTGGCCCCTTTTTGGCCCCTAATTCCTTTACTGTTGGTACCATAACCCCGAAAATCAATCCCAACCTTCCTTTTGTGGTATTGAACCTTGTGGTAAAATTTCATAGAGATCCATTCACTTAAACTAAAGTTAGAGTGCGAAAACCAATGTGTCTTCGGACGACGCTGGACGACGCCAGGAACGACGACGACGACGACGACGCCACTGTCATACCAATATACGACCACAAAAATTTGTTTGCGGTCGTATAAAAATATGGCATATCTGAAATGAGTACAAATTATGGCATATCTAAATATTATTAGAAACTATATATGATACCTGATTTGAGTAGGACAATGATTGTTTTACTGTAGACAGCTATAGTTGAGATAAATAAGATTGTCTTATCTCAAATGATATCAGGATTTTCTTACCATAGATAGATGTTATTAAGTGAGATCTCAATTGTCATACCATAGATTGTGCTAGTTAAGTGAGATCAGAATTGTCTTATTTATTCAGTATTAGTTGAGGGAGATCAGATTACTCTTACTAGAGACAGTTGTACTGGTAGTTGAGTGAGATCCTCATTATCTATTGTTTAACGTTACCATGGTAAGTTTAATTCAGAAAGATCAGGATTGTCTTACTACAGACAATTGCAGTTGAGTGAGATCAGGATTGTCTAATCTTAGACAGCCATATCAGGATTATTGTCTTACCGAAGAAAGTTGTAGTTGATGAAGATCAGGATTTTCTTACCATAGATAATTGAAGTTGAATGAGATCAGGATTATCTAATCTTATACAGCCAAAGTTTAGGGAGATCAGGATGATCTTACCATAGATAGATGTAGTTGAGTGAGATCACGATGATCTTACCATAGATAGATGTAGTTGAGTGAGATCACGATGATCTTACCATAGATAGATGAGGTTGAGTGAGATCACAATGATCTTACCATAGATAGATGTAGTTGAGTGAGATCACGATGATCTTACCATAGATTGATGAGTTGAGTGAGATCACGATGATTATAAGACTTACCATAGATATATGTAGTTGAGTGAGATCAGGATTATCTACTTTGTTATATGCTGCCATGGTAAGTATAATCTGTTTAGCTTCTTCATATCTACCTTTACTTAGCAACCATCTAGGGCTTTCTGGTACTAATCTTAAATTATAACATGCATGTGTGTAAATTAACTTTTTACAAAAAGTAGTCATATAATGCAAATATTTAAACAAGTACAAAGTAAAAGTTTATACAATAAATCCAAGAATATGTGTACATAGGACATCATGTCCCACTCACAAAATCACATGTCCATGATCAGTGAACCTCAAAATCTGGGTCAAAACACTAATTTGGCATATATTCTAAATAGTTCACTTGATAATAAACATATGTAATAACTTCTAAGTTTCAAGTTCATGTGACCACAAACTATCTAAAACCAAAACTTTAACCTGATATGGGGTGAAAAGACAAATAGAAGGAGAGACCCACAGACCAGAAAACATCATAGCCCTTAACTATTGTAGGCACAGCATAAAATAAAATGCTTCGCTGGGGCGCAGCTTGATACGACCGCAGAGGTCGAACCCTGAACAGTTGGGGCAAGTATGGACACAACATTCAAGCTTGATACAGCTCTGAATTTGGATTGTTATTAAATATTTGACACAGCATAGGTTTCTGACACAGAAAGAATGTGGTCTAAGAACTTGAATTTTTTTAATTTACCTATTATGGTCCAATGTCCAAAATCAAAATACATGGTTAGATTCAGCATATCAAAGAACCCCATATATTCAATTTTTGTTAAAATCAAACAAAGTTTAATTTTGGACCCCAACTTGGACAAACTTGAAAACTGGGCCCATAATCAAAAATCTAAACACATGTTTAGATTCAGCATATCAAAGAACCCCAAGAATTCAATTTTTGCTAAAATCAAACTAAGTTTAATTTTGGACCCTTTGGACCTTAATGTAGACCAATTTAAAAAACGGGACTTAAAATTAAAAATCTAAATACACGGTTAGGTTTGGAATATCAAAGAACCCCAATAATTCAATTTTTGATGAAATCAAACAAAGTTTAATTTTGGACCCTTTTGACCTCAATATGAACCAATTTGATAGCGGGGCCCACAAATAAAAAATCTAAATTCATGGTTAGATTCAGCATATCAAAGAACCCCATATATTCAATTTTTGTTGAAATCAAAAAAAGTTTAATTTTGGACCCCAACTTGGACCAACTTGAAAACTGGGCCCATAATCAAAAATCTAAACACATGTTTAGATTCAGCATATCAAAGAACCCCAAGAATTCAATTTTTGTTAAAATCAAACTAAGTTTAATTTTGGACCCTTTGGACCTCAATGAAGACCAATTTAAAAAACGGGACCCAAATTAAAAATCTAAAAACACGGTTAGATTTGGCATATCAAAGAACCCCAATAATTCAATTTTCGATGAAATCAAACAAAGTTTAATTTTGGACCCTTTTGACCTCAATATGAACCAATTTGATAGCGGGGCCTACAAATAAAAAATCTAAATACATGGTTAGATTCAGCATATCAAAGAACCTCATATATTCAATTTTTGTTGAAATCAAACAAAGTTTAATTTTGGACCCCAATTTGGACCAACTTGAAAACTGGGCCCATAATCAAAAATCTAAATACATGTTTAGATTCAGCATATCAAAGAACCCCATATATTCAATTTTTGTTGAAATCAAACAAAGTTTAAATACTGGACCCTATCTTGGACCAACTTGAAAACTGGGCCCATAATCAAAAATCTAAACACATGTTTAGATTCAGCAAATCAAAGAACCCCAAGAATTCAATTTTTGTCAAAATCAAACTAAGTTTAATTTTGGACCCTTTGGACCTCAATGTAGACCAATTTAAAAAACAGGACCCAAAATTAAAAACCTAAATACACGGTTAGATTTGGAATATCAAAGAACCCCAATAATTCAATTTTAGATGAAATCAAACAAAGTTTAATTTTGGACCCTTTTGACCTCAATATGAACCAATTAGATAACGGGGTCCACAAATAAAAAATCTAAATACATGGTTAGATTCAGCATATCAAAGAACCCCATATATTCAATTTTTGTTGAAATCAAACAAAGTTTAATTTTGGACCCCAATTTGGACCAACTTGAAAACTGGGCCAAAAATCAAAAATCTAAATACATGTTTAGATTCAGCATATCAAAGAACCTCATATATTCAATTTTTGCTAAAATCAAACAAAGTTTAATTTTGGACCCTTTGGACCTTAATGTAGACCAATTTAAAAAACGGGACTTAAAATTAAAAATCTAAATACACGGTTAGGTTTGGAATATCAAAGAACCCCCATTTTGGACCCTTTGGACATTAATGTAGACCAATTTGAAAACTGGACCCAAAATTAAAAATCTAAATACACTGTTAGATTCGGCATAACAAATAAATAAATGTGATCAAAGATTTTACAAATCTAATGCGCCATACTGTGCAATTAAAGATTACTTCTTGAAATTTTTCAATATTTGAAATTTGAAAAAAAAATAATATTTGAAGAATAATTCTTTTTAATTTCTGAAATCTGAAATGAGAAAAAATTGGCCCCCCACAATTTCTTTTTATCCTCCCCCCCCCCCTTTTTCCCCCAAAAAAATTCTTTCCTTCAAGATATGGTCATAATCTCAATTCAAATTTCCAATGGAGTTGGCAACCATAATTACCCATTTAAATTTACCATAGTGCTAACTTAATCTATTTTATAATAGAATTAATAAAAATATAGTGTCAAATCTTTCATATGGATTTTTTTGTAAAAAAAAAAGATGAAAACATTTGCAGATATTTTTACTGGTCTTCCTTTATAAATATGCATTTCTTTAAACATAATTTAAAAGCAGTGTAAGGGAAGTAACCAAAACGTTGTATTTGGATTAACTCCCTTACACTGTTTTAGATTATCTTTATTGTTCATTAACCATTACTTTACCTATACATAATTTAAAAGCAGTGTAAGGGAGATAATTTCAATGATGTATTTGATTTATCTCCCTTACACTGCTTTAAATTATGTTTTGTACTAAAGTATTTGTCCATTAACCAGGACAACCTTGTTTTTCCCCCTTTTTTGCCCCTAATTCCTAAACGGTTTGAGCCATAACCCCCCAAAGCAAATCCTAACCATCCCTTTGTGGTATGGAAACTTGAAGTATAATTTCAGAGAGATCCATACACCGTTCCACAGTTATTGTCTGGAAACTAGAAAATGCTCATTTTTGGCCCCTTTTTGGCCCCTAATTCCTTAACTGTTGGTACCATAACCCCCAAAATCAATCCCAACCTTCCTTTTGTGGTATTTAACCTTATGGTCAAATTTCAAAAAGATCCATTCACTTAAACTAAAGTTAGAGTGCGAAAACCAATATGTATTCGGACGACGACGCCGGACGACGACGACGACGCCGGACGACGACGACGACGACGCCAACGTCATACCAATATACGACCACAAAATTTTTTTGCAGTCGTATAAAAAGAAGCAGTTCTCATTTGAGCAAAAGAATTTTGTTACGAAGCTATTTATTTCAGCAATGATTCATTTTGTGTATATTTTTGGTTGTAATTCATACAGGTGTGCCTAATCTTATTTTCAATCTTACATTATTCTGTGACACATCTTTTATCTTTCTATATTCCAATTGACATAATTTAAATACTTGTTTAAACATTACTGTCAACTAACCTCCAGCTAAGAAGCATGGGCAATCCTACAAGTGATGACACCATTGTTAGTGTTCTCCAGTCCCTGATAAAATATCCTAGAGGAGCTAGCAGCATCAATCCCACAGCCCAGAAACCTACACATCCACAAAATACTCTCCATGATGGAATAACATATTCTAGTGGTAAGACAAAGTTGGTTACTAACACACCTGAAAATAAATTGAAAAAAAAAATCCTTTTAATAAGAAAATATATATCAACTTCAACTGTTTTTATATTCTAAATTCTATTTTTTTTCAATTTTCAAGAGTCATAGAATGGTTTTTATTCCCAATTGAAAAATTCTTGGTTTTTTTTTGTCTTTTCTAAGCAAACAAAAATGTGTTCCAAAATAATGTGTGTCATTTATCCTCAGAATAAACCCTGATTTTCTGATTACATATAGTTAATAAATGTCTCCATTCCAAAAGGTTTGATTCATGTCAAATTTACATTTTTGTTTCAGTTATTTACCATTTGGACAGAAAATCATATATCCTTTAAATTTTCAAAACAGTTGAACAAATTCATTGAAGCACCATCTCAAAGTTTTACTATTATATATCAATGATCACATATTTTTTTCTTTCCCATACAGATGTCACTCACAATTAGATTGTTCACACACTATCTGCTCCAAAGGGAAACAACTCTTGTGAAATCATAAAAAGCCTTTAAAGGGAAGTAATTTTGAAGTGAATGTAAATCAGGAATAAAAGTACCTCCAACTAATCCACCAATGAAGAATCTGAGGACAGTAAATGTCTGCCATGATTGAACAAATGCACTACAAAAGAGTAATATAAGTAGTAATAGGTACTCCAGATATAGAGGTTTCTTCCTCCCATACTTGTCTGCCAGCTGTCCTGTGATACATGCACCAAGAAATACTCCAACCATCTGTATGGTAGTGATAATTGATGGTATACCTTCATTGTCACAGATTAAATGCCACTGAAAACAATCAAAATTTATAATAAACTGCTTCGCTGAGCGCAGCTGGATACGCCCGCAAAGGTCCAACCCTGAACAGTTGGGACAAAAATGGACACAATATTCAAGCTTGATACAGGTCTGAATTTGGATTGTATTAAATATTTAACATATTATAGGTTTCTGAATAAATGTAGTCAAAGAACTTGAAATTGGTTATATGAATTGAATTTATATTCAATTAAAGATTTCTTGCTGTTGTGCAATACACTGTGTTGTTGTGCAATACTAAGTAAATCTGTTGTCAGACTATAAACAATTAAAGTTCAATTAATTCTCAATGTCATATTAAAAATTTATGAAAATGTAAAGGGAGCTTACATCAATAGATATAAATAATTCACTAAAGTTTCATGAGAATTTCTGACAGCATTTTTGAGTTATTGTCCAAAAACTGGAAAATCCCCCCTTTTTTAATGAATAAAACCCCATAACTCAGAAATGTAAAATGTAAAATTTATAAAATTCTAAACGGAGCTTACATCAACAGATATAAACAATTCACCAAAGTTTCATAAGAACTGCTGAAAGCATTTTTGATTTTTTGTCTGAAAACTGAAAAATCCCCCTTTTTTTTATGAATAAAACCCTGTAACTCGGAAATGTAAAATCTAAAATATATAAAAATCAAAAGGGAGCTCTTGTCAATAGATATAAACAATTCACCACAATTTCTTGCAAGTTGGTGATAGCATTCTCGAGTTATTGTCTGAAAACTGGAAAATCCCCTTTTTTTAATGAATAAAACCCCATAACTCGGAAATGTAAAATCTAAAATTTATAAAAAAACGAAAGGGAGCTCACGTCAATAGATATAAACAATTCACTAAAGTTTTATTTAAATTGGTTAAAGCGTTTTTGAATTAATGTCCCACATGTTGACGACAGACGGACGGACAGACGGACAGACGGTCGGACAGACGGACAACGGTATACCATAATACGTCCCGTAAACGGGCGTATAAAAACTACAATTAATTTAACTTTTATAGACATTTCATTCTTATAGAACGCTTACCGTAATAATCATTGTAAAGTTTTTCAAACTCAAATAAGTTCACATGGCTAAAAAAAGATGTGGATTATAACTGCCAGGGTGTTCAGATCAAAAAAGCAAACTACATAAATTTATTCAAAATTAGTCCATTATTATTTTTCAACAACAAATGACTGAGATTATAAGAAATACCATAACAAAACATTTTAAACAGCTAACTACCATGACTACTCACATGATTTCTTTTATGCTTACTTCAGATATGATACTTGTATCCTTACCTCAGATATGATACTTGTATGCTTATCTCAGATATGATACTTGTATGCTTACCTCAGATATGATACTCGTATCCTTACCTCAGATATGATACTTGTATGCTTATCTCAGATATTATACTTGTATAAAATTGAGAATGGCAATGGGGAATGCTTACTTCAGATATGATGCTTACTTCAGATATGATACTTGTTTGCTTACCTCAGATAAGATACTTGTATCCTTACCTCAGATATACTTGTATGCTTACCTCAGATAGGATGCTTACTTCAGATATGATACTTGTATGCTTGCTTCAGATATGAAGCCTACTTCACATATGATACTTGATGCTTACCACGGATATGATACTTGTATGCTTACCTCAGATATGACACTTGTATCCTTACCTCAGATATGATACTTGTATGCTTACCTCAGATATGATACTTGTATGCTTACCTCAGATATGATACTTGTATCCTTACCTCAGATATGATACTTGTGTGCTTACTCAGATATGATACTTGTATGCTTACCTCAGATATGATACTTGTATGCTTACCTCAGATATGATGCTTATTTCAGATATGATACTTGTATGCTTACTTCAGATATGATGCTTACTTCAAATATGATACTTGTATGCTTACCTCAGATACGATACTTGTTTGATTACCTCAGATATGATTCTTTTATGCTTACTTCAGATATGATACTTGTATCCTTACCTCAGATATGATACTTGTATGCTTACCTCAGATATGATGCTTACTTCAGATATGATACTTGTATGCTTACCTCAGATATGATGCTTACTTCAGATATGATACTTGTATGCTTACCTCAGATATGATACTTGTATGCTTACTTCAGATACAATACTTGTAATCTTACCTCTGATATGATAGAAGTAAAGTCCTCTGAGAATTTAATGGTAGAACACATTTTATTATCAGCTGTACATGCGTTCATTGTATAATTAAGTGTCATATTACTAGTTGCATTAACACTATTCTCATAACATGTCCATGTTGGCTTTGCATTGATTAAGATAGGTAACAACATTGCCCATGCTGCTGGTGTCTCGAACAGGCTTACAATAATAAATACTCTAAACTGATATTTCCCAAAATAGTGCAAAGGTCCATATGAACCAAGCTGTTTTAAAACCTTTTCATACTCAGACATCTGAAAAATAATGAATTTCTATTACTTGGATGAATGAGGTATTCCATATACATTTTGGTAAATAATAAAAGTGTTAAATTAAACTTTTTTCTTCAGCTGCTATTTCTTGATCTTGAACATTAGCTTCTGTCCAAGTTTGAGTTTCATAACAATACAGGAAGGTTTTAAATCCCAACTGAATTCAAAACTGTCTAAAATTGTTAACTTCAAAAAACTCATCTATCATAGAAATTCAATACTAAATAAAATGCTCTGCTGGGGCGCAGCTTGATACGACCGCAGAGGTCAAACCCTGAACAGTTGGGGCAAGTATAGACACAACATTCAAGCTTGATACAGCACTGAATTTGGATTGTAATTAAATATTTGACACAGCATAGGTTTCTGACACAGAATGAAAGTGGTCTAAGAACTTAAAAATTTTTAATTTACCTATTCAAACCATATCATCATTATTTGCTTTTATATATAAATCAGAAATAACCAATTTAAAATGGAAAATTTTAAAGAAAAAAAAGGAAAAAAAAATCCCCCCCCCCCCAAATTTTTTGAACCCCCTTATGATTCATCACCCCCAAACTCAATCCCAGCCTTCCCTTTGTGGTATGGTACCTTGCAGTACAATTTCAGAGAGATCCATACACTTGAACACAAGTTATTGTCTGGAAACTAGAAAAATGCTTGTTTTTTGGCCCCTTTTTGACCCCAAATTCCTAAACGTTTACGGCAATCACCCCCAAACTCAAACCCAGCTTTCCCTTTGTGATATGGAACCTTGTAGTACAATTTCATAAAGATCAATACACTTACACACAAGTTATTGTCCTGAAACTAGAAAAAAATGCTTGTTTTTTTGCCCTTTTATGGCCCCTAATTACTAAACTTTTGAGGGAATTACCCCCAAAATCAATCCCAACCTTCCCTTTGTGGTATGGTACCTTGCAGTACAATTTCAGAGAGATCCATACACTTGAACACAAGTTATTGTCTGGAAACTAGAAAAATGCTTATTTTTGGCCCCTTTTTGGCCCCTTATTCCTTAACTTTTTGAGCAATTACCCCCAAACTCAATTCCAGCTTTCCCTTTGTGATATGGAACCTTGCAGTACAATTTCATAAAGATCCATACACTTACACACAAGTTATTGTCATGAAACTAGAAAAATGCTTGTTTTTTGCCCCTTTTTGGCCCCTAATTCCTAAAATTTGGAGGCAATTACCCCCAAAATCAATCCCAGCATTCCCTTTGTGATATGGAACCTTGTGATACAATGGCAGAGAGATCCATAGACTTACACACAAGTTATTGTCATGAAACTAGAAAAATGCTTGTTTTTTGCCCCTTTTTGGCCCCTAATTCCTAAAATTTGGAGGCAATTACTCCCAAAATCAATCCCAGCATTCCCTTTGTGATATGGAACCTTGTTGTACAATGTCAGAGAGATCCATACACTTACACACAAGTTATGTCTGGAAGTTACAAAAAATGCTTATTTTTGGCCCCTTTTTCCTTAACTGTTGGTGCCATAACCCCCAAAATCAATCCCCACCTTCCTATTGTGATATTGAACCTTATGGTAAAATTTCATTGAGATCCAGTTACTTAAACTAAAGTTAGAGTGCGAAAACTAATGTGTCTTCGGACGACGACAACGACGCCAACGTCATACCAATATACGACCACAAAAAATTTTTTGCGGTCGTATAAAAATTAATAAAATATATTTTAAAAATTTTGTATAAAAATAAGGAAAATACAATCTAACTGAAAAATAAGGACAAGGATTTTCACAGAATAAATGCATCGCAAATGGACTGAAAGTTGAATTTGAAATCTTTGAGTTTACCACAAATCAATAAATGGGAGTTTTTGTACATATCTATTACAACACCATAAAGGTCACCTCAAGTTAGCTTTAAAGGCCAGAGACTATGCTAGCTAAATATATTCTCAGGAATTACTTAAATAATTTATTTTAAAAGTTTGGACCAAAATTATTGCAAGCAGGAGTTATCTATTTATCTATAATAAAAAAATTCAAATTGAATAGATCAGTACTATTACCAAGTCACGTATTAAGTGTTTGGTATTTGTTTTATCATATCTAATTTTAACTCTTATGAAGAATAATTCAGAAATATGTACATGTGGTGATGAACACTCGATGTGTTCCTGTCTTAAGGGACATTATCATCTAGACATTATGTTCATTGTATACCAACTTTTAATTATTTTTCAAAATATCTAATAATGAACAGTAAACTTCAAACTATATTTATACATAATTTCTTCTCTAAAATAAGAATTTGATGCTGTATCTATTTTTAACTATGAATCTACTTACAATTTCTATTAATTGTGCAATACAGAGTTCTGAATTTGGATTGTGATTAAATATTTGACATAGCATATTAGGTTTCTGACACAGAAGAATGTGGTCTAAGAACTTAAAAATTTGTTTACCTATCATCATGATCATAGTCCAATATCCAAAATCTAAATACATAGCTATATTCAGCATATCAAAGAACCCCAAAATTTCAATTTTTGAGGAAATCAAACAAACTTTAATTGTGAACCCTTTGAACCTCAATGTGGACCAATTTGATGATGGGGCCCAAAATCCAAAATCTTAATACACGGTTAGATTCAGAATATCAAAGAACCCCATATATTCAATTTTTATTGAAATCAAATAATGTTGAATTTTGGACCCCGATTTGGACCAACTTGAAAACTGGGCCCAAAATAAAAAATCTAGATACATGTTTAGATTCAGCAGATCAAAGAACCCCTTGAATTTAATTTTTGTTAAAATCAAACAAAGTTTAAATTGGATCTTTTGGACCTTAATGTAAACAAATTTGAAAACCAGGCCCAAAATCAAATTGTTAGATTTTTTCTACTTTGTATCAATCTGATGAGTTAAGCACTTTTCAACTGATTTTTATAGTTTGTCCTTATGTTGTACTGTTACAGCACTGTCCCAGGTTAGGGGGAGGGTTTGGTGCTAGCAAACTAGTTTAATCCCGCCACATTCAGTATGTGCCTGTCCTAAGTCAGGAGCCTGTAATTCAGTGGTTGCCTTTGTTGCTTTATATCATATTTGTTTTTCATTCATTGTTTTGTACATAAATCAGGCCGTTAGTTTTCTCATTTGAATTGTTTTATGTTTGTCATTTTAGGTCCTTTTATAGTTACATTGTAACTATGCCGTACTGGTTTTGCTCATTGTTGAAGGCTGAACAGTGACCAATAGTTGTTAAGGTTCATCAAAAGGAATTGAAAAATATGACCGTGTTTACACCACAAAATCTACTTTGAGTACAGACAAAATGATGCATCTAGGAAAGTTTAAAAGGCATGGCAGGACCTAGACAAATATCTATGTTTCAGAAAATTAAAGAAATTACCTGGATTTTGATGTGCATTTTTTTCCAGTCTGCAGAAGATAGCAAAATAAACTACATTGTAACACATTAGTTTCATTTGATACGGTCAACTCAGTTACATAGTTTAAATCACCTATTGTTTGCAGATGTCCATCTATTGTCCATTTAAATCAATACTACTCACAACATTTATTATATGAGGGGAGCTTCTCAAACCTCTTTCCCAACTTAGTTTATTTTGGCACCTTCTGCAGGAATGAAAAAAAATGAATAGTAAAATTCAGAAAAGTTTATAATTTTCTGAAACATAGAATGCTTTTAAAATTTAATTATCTAGTTCCTGCCATGCCTTAAAACTTTTCCAGGTGAACAAGTTTGTCTGCAGAGTAAAATGTGTGGTGTAAATACGGCCATATTAGCCAAAAGGTTATGATGAACATTAACTTCTATGTCATTTGGTCTCTGGTGGAGAGTTGTCTCATTGGCAATCATACCACATCTTTTTATTTTTATATTGTTTTTGGCCTGTAATTCCTACACAGCTAGGACAATAACCCCCAAAATCAATCCCAACCTTTCTTTAGTGGTGTGGAACCTTGTGGTACAATTTTATAGTGATCCATACAGTTATACATGTACTCAACTTAATGTCTGGAAACCAAATGTCGTCAGACAACGAAGATGACAACTTCATAACACTATACCACCGCAATTTTGCGGTCAAATAAAAAGTTGGCTAGTATGAACATCATTTATTTCAAAATCTCAATATCTCCCTTTAATGGCTTTATCTCTCATATTAACATATGTTAGTCCAAATAATTATGACGCCTTGAAAGGCTATTTTAATTTATTTTTCTGTGCATAACACAGGAAGGCTTCACAGCAAAAAAATAAAGTAGCCTTTCAAGACGTCTTAATTATTTGGACTACTCTTGTATATCATCTTGACCTTGAGAGGCCTTTATATTAAGGAATAGTGAATTAATATGATACATCAATATGTAACTTTTCATTCTATAATGATATATTAAGGTTCATGTGGACCCTTTGACTAAAATGGCTGCATTTTCACCTCAAAATTTACTCTGAGTACAGACAAACCTGTGTATCTGGAAAAGTTTTAAGGCATAGCATGCTCTAGATAAATAAAATTCAAATATATTTTATGTTTTAGAAAATTAAAAACTTAACAGGATTTCGCAGTGCATTTTTTTTCATTCCTCCAGAAGGTGGCAAAATAAACTAAGTTGTGAAAGAGGTTTGAGAACTTCCCCACAGGTAATAATTGAAGTGAACTGTATTGATTGACATGGACAATAGATGGACAATAGATACCTGGCAATAATTGGTGATTTAAACTGTGTACCTGAGTGGACCATATTAAGTGAAACTCAACTGTTAATTTTATCATCTTCTGCAGGGGTGAAAAAAAGTGCACTGCAAAATCCAGTTAAGTTTTAAATTTTCTTAAGGGGATGACCATTTGATATTCTGGGGGGGGCCAGGAGGATTTTGAAAATAAATAACTCAGCCTTGATAATCACAAAAATAAATGGTTTGTTCTGTGGTAGTTTGAAAATAAATGACCTGACTTGCAATGTATTGAAAATAAATAACTCAGCAGGTCTAATCGAAAGTATGAGATGGCACCAGATTCTTCATAAATTAATCTTTTTTCCAAAAAAAAAATCGGGAAACACTTCCCATATCTTTTAATAATAAAAGTATAAATATTATTTAAATATACTTGAAATGTCAGAAAATTGGTTTCATTTAACTTGAGGTTAATTGTCTCAGGAACACTTACCTCACTTTTATTAAATCAGGGCCGTAACTACATTGAGACAAATGCCTCATGTAGGAAATTTCAAAACCAAACGCTTGTCTCCATATCAAATTGTGTTCACCGTGAGTGCCTTGCAAGAAGCAAGTTCTGTTCTCCCTCAGACTTAGCCCCTGATTTTTTGGGATCAATATTTCTTATTTATTTGTCTTTTGTTCATTGATTGCCCTTCTGTATTCTGTTAGTGTTGCATTCATTTTGTAATTTAGTAATTTTATTATTAACTTGATCATGAGTTTAAAAAAACACAGCAGCCACAGACTTAACTATGTGAATTACATTTTTGCTTTTAATATCATGCATATTTGTCTTTTGATGTTGTTCCTAGAATCTTAAGTCTTACACTGAATCTATAACGTGATTTTGCTTTGAGACCAAAATATTGTCATAAAATTATTAAAATAGAACTTGCATTTTCAGTTTAAGAAAGGGTCTGGGGAACACCCAGAAGGCATGATTTTGCATCATTTGTTCTATAGCTTCTTGGGCCTTCAGCGGTTCAAAAACCCTTCAAAAAAAATTTTGCCTCGCTCCGCTCGGCGAAACACGTTTGCCAATACTTTTAGAAGAGCCTTAGTTTCAACCAAACTTTAATACTGTGTATGTATGCAATACATGTATATGCATTGGGGGATATAAAAAGATTCATTTCTGCAGAAATAATTAATTCTGATTAAATGGTACATAATGACTTGACTATACATGAATTATTTATAATAAACAAATAATTTAAAAATTGCATGTTTTCGAATATTATAAATATAGTTGTGAAAATAAATAATCAGTCCCTTGCTTTAATGAAAATGAAAAATCTTGCTTCAATAGTGCAGAAAATAGATAATCTGTCCTCTTAGTTTACAAAAATAAATAACCAATCCACAACAAATCCTCCTGGCCCCCCCCAGAATATCAAATGGTCGTCCCCTAAACATACAATGCATTTGAATTTTATTTATCTAGGGCATGCTATGCCTTAAAACTTTACCAGATGCACAGGTTTGTCTGTACTCAGAGTAAATTTTGAGGTAAAAACGCAGCCATTTTAGCCAAAGAGTCCACATGAACCTTAACGTGTAACTTTTCATTCTATCATGTCAATTAATATAATTATATGTATGCAATAGGTCTTAACCATCTATTGTTAACGAGTGTGTGCCAATAAAAATATTTGTATTTGTATAATTTAAAACAATGTAAAATGTGAATAATCTATTTTCTCCAAATGATTTTAAAAAACTTTGAACCAGTAACTAACATTTCACCTTTTTTCGTGAAGTTTAAACGGTGTTCTTAATTCCTCTGTCGGTTTAAGCTGGGAACAGTATATCTAATATCTAATATATATGTTCCTGGTTTAAGCACTGATCTGAATAGTATACAAATACTTGGTTTAAGAATCTATGTTGTACTGACTATGACTATGTACGCAAAAAATAAAATATTGTGATCATCCCACAATTTATATGAGATAGGTCTCGATCTGCAAAATAACAATTTATGTGAATTTAATGGTATAAGCAGTCGTTTATAAAGGCAGGGAACACGTGTGCAACATATTGCCTTTAGTTACGAAATCTTTGAAAAAATCTTCAATGTCAATTTGCAGTTTATGTTCAGGTCAGCGGTTTCGTAATTTTAAGCGCTCAGATGATCTAAAGAAAAGGTTCCCTGTTTACATCATGGTTCATATTTCCCTATCGTATTCAGAAAATAAAACCAGTTTTAAATGAAACTAATTTCTGAAAAAAATATGGAATAACCGTGATATTTTTATCAAAATTTTTATTTTATTTACCTGATTTGTGTTTATTTTTATAGTAAAATATTCTCTATTTTTGGTTGGGTATGTGTTGCTAAATCTTTAGTTTTCTATTTCGTCGTTTTTCGTTTTTTGACATGATCGTAACTTTGTTTTCGATTCGTGAGGTTGAATATCCCTTTGGAATCTTTTGTCTCTCTTTTAATTTTCTTGTAGGAACTTTCATCTGTCTTTTTTTCAACTCTAAAGTCATAATTAGACAGAAAGTGTTGATTGCAAATTTATTATAAACAATTCAGAACTTTCCGGAAATGGGGAGGGTCAAAATTAGCAAAAAAAATATTAACCCAGTTCACCACAGACAAATATCGTTAAAAAGGGGGCATGGTGAGCATTTACTGATTCAGTTTACATTTTGTATTATAAAAATAAAAAAATATATATAAAAATAAGAATGTGTGGTATGATTGCCAATGAGGCAATTAACTCTCCACCAGAGACCAATTAAATGACATAGAAGTTATTCAAACAACTATACTGAGGACACCGTACGGTCTTCAACAATAAGCAAAACCCATACCGCATAGTCAGCTATAAAAGGCCCCGAAATGACATTTGTAAATACAAGCAATGATTTTTCAGAGCTTTTACAACATATTGCTTTAAATGATTGCACCAATTTAGGTCAGTCCGTATAAGCATCGATCTATTTAGGTACGCTTAGACCAATTCCTCAGTATATATGATGGACATCATCGATTATTTCTGTCAACACTTTAAAGGGTGTGTGATTCTTTGGTCAGTATAGCAATATTACAATTGGTTTCAAAATTATATATTCTGGACTGTATCAGCAACGAACATAATCTCCCCTAAGACAGGAACAAATCAAGTGTTCATCACTACATGTACATGTATGTACGTTTTGCATCAGGAAATAACTGTGTACAAAATTGAAAAATATCCCCACAACCGGCTCAAGAGAAAGAGCCTTATCCAAGCTACTAAGGAATTCCCTGCACATAGCTTCTTTTTATTCCAGCTGACAACCACGCTGAAATATAACAGAACTATATGGGAAATGCATATTAACAGCTCTCAGAAACTGTCTTACACATTTAAACCAAATGATACACAAGTGCACAATAGAGTTTTTCACTGCTTATTTTGAGTCTAAAAATGAAAAAAGGACGCAACTGTAGAACATATTTTAATATAGAAACATACTGAAATGCAAACAAATAGGTTCATTTCAGAGACCGCCTCAAGACTTTAAACTAAATCTTGAATAATGATAATATGGTGGTACTCATTTTGTGCTTTTTAACGGTGCCAATTTGAAATCCCAAAATGGCTGTCACCATGGAACACAATTCAATTCAATATAGAACCCTACTACGAGAAAGTCTCATAAAACTACTCACATATTTTAATGTTCGCATGCACAAATAATTCTAAGGTGATTGGTGAGCACCATACTAAATCATATATTGTAGTTGAGCCTACAATAAGGTAACTGGCAAAATATTCGTTAGTCCTGCTCAAAAGGGACAAATTAAACGCAAGGGATCATACCTTCATTATATTACTGTTCATATCATGCCAATATTAAGTGTTGTAAGCAAGAAAATGATGATAAATTTTGTATCTGACTAATCTGACTAGTGGTGTTTCAAATTTTATAAACACATATGGTACTGAATTATCAAACAAGCAAACAGTGGCGGATCCAGGGGGTGGGGGTGAGGGTGGGAATGACGTACGTAGAGGTCGTACGCGCCCTTTGATCGCCCAAAAATACCCAAAAATCTCATGTTTCACGATATATATAAATTTTTAGTATAAAATCGTCAAAAAGTTCTAGTTCGCTCCGTAGGCGGTATATATTCAATTATCGCAAACTACGCCCCCTTTCAAAATTCGCGGACCCACCCCTGGCAACACATCCTAGCTATATAGTTGCATGGCGATCTGTAATGAGTGCTCGGTACCGAGACTACTATTACACGGGATATATAATACAGCGGAACAAACCAGACCATTTTGTGTTTAAGAAAATCGCTTATTTCAAGTGAAGTTTGGGATATAAATTTCTGATATCCTTTCTGTTTAGTCTTCGTTAAATGTTTGAAATAAAAGTAAAGTTATACTCCTATCGGGATTAATGATTTTAGAATAAAATCTGTTAAATATAATGTGGGCGCAGTAGAATGTGTCCCCGTGCCTATAGTGTATGCCCTCATATTTTACAGTTAGGGTTTTTTGCTAGTGAGAGAGCTGTCTACATATTCCATTATATTAATGTTCTATTTCTATATATTTTGGTCTCTGGTGATCATGAAATGTTGTTGTCTCATTGGCAATCATACCACATCGTATTTTATTATACTTCATGTCAAAATGCCAGATTTTGATTGGTTAATACGAGGGAGACAGTTTGCTCTATCCCATGGCAAATACTCTATTACCCTTCACGGAGACGCTTGCTCAAGTGTGCGCTTTAATAAATACGGATGATTGTTATGTACGAGACAAAATAGTTTATTACTTTGAATTTGAAATTTAATAGACAGTAATAACAGAACCTTCAGTATAATAAATTAAATAACACATATCTGAGAGGGTGATAGAGCAGATTGTTACCCCTCGAAAAGACATTGTCAACCTTGGCTTCGCCTAAGTTGACAATGTTTTCTCGGGGTAACAATCTGCTCTATCACCCTCTCAGCTATGTGTTATTTATATACTGATACATTCGACCGTTCCAAACACCAGATGTAGCTTGCTGATAGTATCTGAGAAACAGACATAACTATAGTGTGAGTGGTTTTATCTTAGGTTAGATAGTTTACCTTAGTTTCAGTTGACATCATGACAAAAGTGATGTATTCATCCCAGTCACTTTGGTTCTGTTCCACAAATGAACTCAACATTGTTGAAAGAGTCTTATTAAACCTTCCCACCACAACATCCGATTTCGGATGATATGGAGTGGTATGTGTTTTTCTCAATGTCAAGAATACGACACATCTCTTGAAAAAACAAACTTTCAAATGCCTTGCATTGATCTGAATGGATCTAACGAGGAAAACCAAATCTAACAATGACTTCTTCAACTATAAGCTTGGCCACAGTTCTAGCTTCTATATTTGGCATGGCAAAGATTCCGTTCACTTCGTATAGAAATTACCAATATATATATTTGTTGCCACCCTCTGTTTTGGGAAACTCACCAAAGATATCTGTGGCTATCCTTTCCATTGGCCCATTAGCTTCTACTAAAGCCTATGGACTTTTGTGGACTTTTTCTCTTTGCACATTTGTCACATCCGTTTATATAAGTCCTGACGTCGTTTTGTAACCCAGGCTAATAATAAGATTGTCTAACTGTTACCAAAGTTTTATGGATAACCCTCAGATATTATGTATGAAATGCTACCATCAGTTAAAGACATCCCTGCACATAAGTTTGCCTGGGAGCTTAAGGAGAATTTAGAAAACTCTCAGTTTGTTCAGAGGTAAAATCAAAGGGCTGATGCGGAGACAGAAAACTACCACAATTTCAGGAGGTGTACGTATATTTCCCAGGTAAAAAACCTGGGATGGCTTTAAAACTGACCAGTCAGGATTCTACTTCGTCAATATTATCTCCCCATGACGCCACCTAATTATTTAAATCGTGAAAATGGAAGCCATTGTAGGGATGACGCGCTATCAACTTAATTAGCTCTTGAAAACCGATAAATTTATCCACAAAGCTTCATTACGATTCTTACACGACAGTTGTATTTTAAAGGACAAATGTATCTACTAGCAATTATTAAAGACTTATTACCCTAGATACCACTAACTACTTGGATATTCGCGATTGTAGTCTCTTATAAGATACTATCACTTTAAGTGTAATAAAGAACAGGTTGGTGCCTGTTAGGAACTTACGAACTTGTACAAGTTGGAGCTTTACAAGTTGTACCGTATTGGACAAGTGTTATAGATTGTAGGGTACATAGTTGTACCAAAAGGACAAGCTTGTTCCTGACCCAGGACACATTTGTAATACCGGTAGTACAAATTTGTATACGTTGTATATGTATAAATAGTTCATTATAGAACGCAACGAGCAGTTGTACATATTTTAGTTCATTGATGTCAATTCATAAATAAAAGTTTACTTGTTTGATAACTTTTAAATAGAACATTTCGGATCCAGTATCAAACTGGTAACGAACCTTGTACATAATAGTAATAAACACGCTTTCCTTGTGTACACGTTACACTAGGAAAACTTAAAATTGACCAATGAACCGTGAAAATGAGATCAAGGTCAGAAGAAATCGGTCAGACAGACATGTATACGTTACAATTATTCCACACAGTTGACCTATTGCTTCCAGTAGCTGAGAAACGGATCAAAGAATCAAACCACAAATTGTCAAAGGCTTAACATTGACCAGAAAGACATGTACGAATTAAGTAAAATCATTCTTTTCACCAAATATGATTGATATATTGCTTATAGCATCGTAGAAACGGACCAAATCACGAAAACTTAATCTTAATCACTGATCCATAAAATGAGGTCAAGGTTAGGTGATTTCTATCTGACGAACATGTTAACATTGCGAGGATCCCGTAAATGTGATAGCCTCAATACGTTATGTGTATTCAAATAAAGACCCCTAGCTTGTCTTGTAGATACACAAAACCTGGTATTTATTGTTAGTAGTTATACACTTTATTCATTTGAGATTTGAGGGACTGTAGTTCATACTGTGTAATGTGTTAGATACAATTCCGAAGTTAGCTTGTTCAATTGATAGATTGGT